TAATAAACTCCCAGCACGTACTTTGAGGTATGATTCTGTTCTACACTGTATTTTTCTTCCTATCTATGTTGAGGCTAGTTGAGTTGAGTCAGTGCACCTGAGCACTTTTACTCTCTATTAACTGCGAGGTTTCTACAAAACCCCTCTTTGCGCCTTGACTGGATTATTGTTTATCACTTCATTAGACTAAGCAATAATTGACCTCAGATCTGCATATCTTTCTATTTTGTTCTATTTGGAAGGTAGTAAGCTTTATTTTAATTAAAGTAAAAGTAGATTTCTGCTAACAATATTTGTGTTAATTTAAAAAGTATTCCTAAATAAAAATAACATTTTTGAAATCATTAAAAAAAAATTTGCATTTATATATTTCATATACTAAAATATTATTTTTGAAAATGCTCTATAAAATCTTGCATTTTTATTTGACTGCATAAAATATGAAAACTGCAGTTTTAAAAGAATTGAGTTATAATCTATAAAGAAAAATTTCATAAATGCAAAGCCACAGCAGTGCAAATTTAAATTAAAAACGAATCGAGTTTTAATAGCTGAAGGACCCTACGGAATGTTGCAGCCACTGAAGAGTAAAACCGTAGTAACAAATTCAAATTGTATGCAGTGTTAAAAGGAGTTGATACACATAAAAAAAACAGTTTTAAACTTAATAAAAAAGAACCTCAAATAAAAAGAATCCTAAATAAAAAAGGAATAAAATAAAAATGTCTCGATAAGCCAGTAACTGCTGTGGAGTAACCACTTAATACAATCCAATCACTTCGGGTCAAATGTATTTTCGTTGATTTTAAATTGGAAACAATTGTGTGGTGACTTCGTAGTCATTCAGACCAGGCTCTGCACTGTCCTTCAGTAAACCAGAGAAGAACAAAACATTAGCGAAATGCTTAGGAAAAATATATGCGAATATGTAAAGTGGTAAGAGGACATTTCGCACATCCTTTGGCTATTGCCTCTGCAGCATAGTATACGATTTGCATTTATTATTTATTTTTTATAAATTCATGCAATATTTTCAATTTGAATTTCTTTCTTTTTATGGATATTTGATAGAAATTGATAGAAATATATTTGAAGTACTATATGTCTTTGTGAAACTGCTGCAACTGATGTAGCCATAACGACCGCTGCCATGGGAATATTGAGTTTGTTAAAGTGGTCGTTGTAATTGGAATTCCATCAATAACCATTCACTTTATGCATACCACTTGGAAAGTTTCTCAAGAAGTGCCTCAAACAACTGACCAAAGAAGTAGCAATCAAAACAAAATAAAACAAAATATGAAAATAAATTAAAATAAAATAAAAAATAAAAAGCAGATAAGAGGAAATATTGTTTACTGTGAACTTTGGAATGCCTTCAAATAGCTCATCTGTTATCTTCCAGACTGTTAGAGAAAAGAAATGGTTTCATGCAGCAGTGAAGTTCAAAATTAAATAAAAAAAGGAGAATCTTAAAAAAATTGAGTACTTGTATTGTTCATCACATTTCATGCAATTGAAAATATTTATACAAAAGCCTATATATATATATATATGTATATATAAGAACCTCAATCAGTGCTGTGTTATAAAGTTAGATGTACTATACGAACAATGACTGTCCGTAGTATCACAACAGGTCATTGTTTGACCGCAGCTGGGCTATGTTGCACAAGGACGCCACTTTAACATTACCTCAACTGAAGTTAACCAAAATTCTTTTTAATAAAAATTTTATTTTATTTAAAATTATTATTCAATTTTTATAACTTTTGACATATTTTAAATTCATGACAAATATCTTATATTAAAAGTATTTTTAGAGTAAATACCTTTATTGACAATATCGTTTCATTAGGATTTTTCAAAGACACAAAATTTAATTGCATTTGTATTGACTTCCTGTCTGATTTTGCAATCAAATACTTTTATGTACTTTTATGCGTAAGGTACTTATAGTGTAAATGTCGGATTGAAGCTCATCCTTATACATTGTAGCCATTTTCATTTCATCTGCTCTTTTCTATCATCTGCAAGTCATTTAACATAAGCAAACAGTTACCATTTCCGGTATACAAAATTATATTTTTAACAAGAAAGTTGTTTGCCTTTTTTAACAATTTCTTTTGCCTTTCAAATTGAAACTTAGTGCACTCACTTTACTGCATCTTTGCGTCGCAATATCTACCGAAGGATAGTATAATAAAATAAAATTGAAATGAAATACAAACCTGAAAATAGTCACAACATATAAAAGAAATTTGCTTTTAAATTAAATCAACTTGAAGACATTATCATTGTGTCCCAATGGCAACGTAGTCAACCAAGTTCTTCTCTACTTCTTGTTCTGCCTTTTCATCCTCTTCTTAATTTTCTTTTTCATCTTCTTCTCATATCTTGTTCGTGAAAAGTCAAATGGTTGTTGGCAAACGATGGCAAACCAAACCATACCAATCTGAATCCAAATCGAACTGCTCATATCAGTGTAGAACTGCTCCGCACTGGTCCCAATCAAATTCACATCATTGTAGCAGTCGCCTTGGGACTCTTATTATTAATATTATTTTATATTTTATTAAGTGTTCTTTTCGTTGGAAATCAAATCGCATCAATTGTGTGCCTAAGTGGGCAATTTGAAGAGATTATTCCTTGTCAGTAGTTGTGCTGCTTGTTGCCGCTTGACTCAGTTGCTCCACTTGTTGTACGACATAATTGAGTGTCGCTCGACATGGAAAAGTAGCAAATATCCTAAGGATGCTTTATTAATATGCGTACATTTTGAAGAGTTTTTAACATAATTCTTACTTTATTACAAAATCATAAAAATTTTCAGAATAATTTTTCTTATTATGGAACCATAACAACAAATATCATAAAATACGCGAAAAATAAATTATGCGAGTCTATTGGTACTAACAAAACTTATTGAAAATCTGCTACATACTTCAAAAATAAACAGTTTTTTATAAAAGTTATTATTGGAATTATCAATGATATTCGCAAGCTTTGATACCATTCTTTACATTTTTATCGAATATATCAGATTTTATTGCTTCATCTATATTAGGGCTGTCCAAAGCACGGTTCGCGGCTAATGCTTGTGCGGCCCGCGACATATTTTGAATATGCCATAATTATACAAATTTTCTTTTGGCTCACTAGTAGAACCACATTATTTTATTTATATGGTATGCAAATAAATGAATTTTAATTAAAAATTAAAAAATGTCTAGTCTGGACATCCCTGATCTAAATATATCTCACATATATGCAATATCTACGTGGTACTATATCTGATTTTATGCTTAGACTTTAATCAAATATATAAAATTATAAGGTTCATTTTTTTATCGAATGTAACGCGCTTTATGTCGAAAAGAAAACTAGAAGGGTTCGAATGGTAATGAAGAAACAACAACTACAAAAGTTTGATTAATTTTTTGAAATTTTACTAACCATACAACGCTGTTTCGAATATTGTAAAGTATTCATCATCAGGGATCTTTGGAAATATTCGGATTTACTATAAAATTATATTTCTTTATCGCGACTGAACATAGTCAGATGTTTATTTCGATCTATTAATTTAATTTTGTGTTACGTGCAATTTGAAGTTGACCTGTCGATGATTGTTTCAAAATGAAACTAAACCGTATATCGTGCAGTGATGAAGTTCTTTCTCTCGATTTATCAGCAAGAACAAATTATGCAAGAATGGTAAACTTGTTAAAACAATCTGGTCCTTCATTTCCAACTGTGCATACATGGAAATTAGAGTTGAATAAGAACCACGTAGTGTGCGTCCAAAAAGTGTAACAACACCAGAAATCACTGAGAAAGTCTATGACATTGTTCGCAGAGACTCTAGTTCGAGTAAGTACAAAATTGTTGATATCATAAGCATTTCGGATGAATGAGTAGTCCATAATTTACTTCAAAGAAAGAATCATATATGAAGAAAATATTCGGAGCCGCATTCGTTGACAATGCAACAATAATTGAATCGAAAACAAATTTCTCAGCATAACCTGCAGCATTTGAAGCAGAATAAAACCGATTTTGTACGTCGTTTTATAACTATGCATGAGACCTGGATCTACCATCATGTTTCTTAACTGAGTGTAAAAGAGAATGTTTACACTGGACTGAAGCTGGTGGTTCTTCTCGAAAACAGGTTAAGTTAAAAAGATCGGCAAAAAGATTTATATCATCAGTTTTCGGGAATGCTTGATTATTGATTGATTATCTTAAAAAATTCAAAACGATTAATTCTAATTGGTATCACAACCCATTGGAACAGTTAGATAAAAAATTAATTGAAAAAATACCCAACCTACGAAAGGAAAAAGTCATTTTTCATAAAGACAATGTGCTGTCATATTCTCCAGATCTGTTTTTCACTGACTTTCACCTTTTCAGAAATTTGAAGCAAATTCTTCGTAGAAAGCGTTTTTCATCAATTCAAGAAGCCATTTCGGCCATGAAGCAGTATTGCAAAGAAATCATTACGGGAAATCATTAGGGATGGTATGAAATTATTGAATTATTATCGGAATATATATGTATGTTGAAGTACCGGGAGATTACTTTGAATAAAAATACTAATTCGTCCAAAACAGTTTTCTTTTTCATTTTTACTTTTAAAACTTTGTAACCAACATATATGCCAGGCGTAAGTGGTGCTACGTCTAGGTTGTATATTTGAACTTTTCATCAAATATATTTAAAGTTAACTATTTATCTTAAAACACCTAACATAGATATATACAATGTCTACGAGGTGCAGTGTTAAGTGTTTTTTATATTGAATGTCAAAAATTTAAAATTTTTGGCACAAAAAAGTAATGAAATATCGTATTTAATAAACGCTTCTTTCCTATGTATTTTAAAACATCTGTAACATCTGTATAATCTATTGAACACGAATTTAAATAAAAATTCTAAGAATATATTAATCACACATTCTGAAATACATATTTTTTTTATTGTACGGTTTACAGTAGATTTAAAAACGTTTAAAATTAAGTCTTAAAATGATTTTGTACTGAATTGCGTTTCATATTATTCCATTTTCTATTTATGGTTTCTTGACTAACATACTACTATATAAGCAGTCCACTACTTCTGAAATATCTGCAGTTCTTGAGAAACATTGATTTATCTTAAACCTTACAAGACGTAAGGGTTTCATTTCAGTTTGAAACTAAAGTTTCTTCTAAAATTTGCTGGATTCTGCAAACACTATCCAAAAAATTTAAAAAAATAAATATTAGTACTCAAAATAATACAAAATTTTTAATTAACTGTATTATAAAAAATATTGTAAAATATTATAAAATATTCTTTATAACATTCCTATAAGCACTGAGTCTCACTTACTTGAACTTATTCCATTTAATATTGAACTTAATGATATTGAAGATATATATGCTTATCCCGTATTCACCATTTAATTCTTGAAAATCCTACAGACTTGTAAGCAAATATGAATACATCCTTGATTTTAAACGAATATCCTAAACGTTTTATACACAAACAACATCCAACCCCTGCTAAAGTCACAACACAACCAAATTGTAAAATATAATTTCTGCGAAACGTCTTTGACTTTATGACGTCTTTTATTGAATCTGGTATATGCGGCAATTGTTCTGCGTAGTAAAGAATATATCGTACTCGAACTAACCGAGGAATTTCAACGTAAATATCAACTCGATCAGGATTCGTACGAAGTCTGTGTTGAATGAACCTTCCGTTTTGAATATATTCCACAACACCTACTGATCTCAAGACTTGTCCACAGCATGATTTCCCCCAACAAGGAGTGCGTCTCGATTTTGACAATGCGATGGAAATTACATTTGTTAGACGTATAGGGTCTTCAGAATTATTATACCCGAAACCATGACATAAGAGTTTATATAAGAAATATGGATCACAGGTATAAAATGCAGTCCTACTGCCATATTCTGCACTTTTGTTCTCAAAGTTGACATTTTCTTCATTATCATCATCATAACTAATCTTGAATGCAAATGTAGGCACAGTGATAGGCCCGCCATCCTGTATATGAGTTAAAAATTCCACGAAGTCTGGGTTTTTGATCATTTCTAATTTTGGCGAATTTGAAGAAATTAAAATCCAATGTAATAATATTATAACTTCCTTTTTACAATATGAGTAGTCAATTTCTTGAATATATGACCGCAAAAGTTTTAGGTTGGGGGTTTTCCATATTATGTCATATAGTTGATCCATACTGGTAATGAATTCTGGGAGAAATGGTTTTACTGCTATTTCACAATCATAACTGTAGGCTGCAGTCACAAACAAGCTCCATTTGGCATCACTTTCTATTAAGGAATTTACCAATACGCATTCAACCTCTTTTACTTTTGTTAGATATTCTATTTGAGTATCTGTTTCACCATTTGATGACATATCTGTAGATACTTCACTCTCGACTTCTTCAGACATTTTTGGCTATATAGAACCAATTATTGTATTTCAAGAAAATGTGTGCAATAAAGTACAATTGAACTGAATTTTGAACAAATTGAGAAGCCAAAAGAAGTAATTGAATGAATTTTTTCCAAGAGGGAGTTTTGAAACAATTTTTCTGTGATAATTTATTTTATGTGAAGTGAATTTTATATTAAAAATAACAAATAACTAAATCAGTGAAAACTAAGTTTGTTTTAAGTTTATTTCAAATTTATAGTACAATAAATTTTACTTTTACAATCAGCTTCCTTCATTTACACTACTCAAAAGTAAATTTTTATTTAAGGTAATATATAAAATTAATAAAAATTAGTGATTTTGTTGATTATTATAACATGGGTTAGTAATTTGAAAGATTAAAAAAATTTATTTTTCACATACGTAAGATCCATATTATGTAGAATGTCACGGGCACGTCGAACTTGGCTCTTTCAGGTTATGACGAAACTTCAGGCTATGCAGTCTAGTTCATCAGTTTGAAAATTTCGTATTTTTACAATTTTTTTTTTGTACTCTTTGAATGAGCCTAAAATTTTTAGGAAATATATACATACATACACACAACACGGCTTTGACTGACTGACGAAGCACAGATTGCCTTGAATCTCATGACCGAATTTAAACCGGCATTTGTTCTTTTTTCTCACTCCCATTTTTTAATTTGCGTTGAAGGCAGAAAAAGGCAGAAACCTTCCAAAATGAATCGAATGACTATATGTATGTTTACATATATCTATTCATTTTTAATGCATTATGATATAACTGAATGGTAAAACAAAGTATGTGTGCTCAAATATTGTATTTGAAAGTCGCCCTTCCTTCCAGAATTAAGCCTCTGGCTTTACTCTTGTTACTAACGCACCCTGGTAAATCAGTAATACACACAACAGCTTAAAACAGATCATTTAAGAAAGCAAACAAATGTTTAAAATTTGTCCAAAAGTACCGAATAGTATGTACCGAATGAGTACCGAATAGTATTTTGACGTTTATGTAGAAGTACCAGGTAGTTTTTTAGGATTACATCCAAAGGTATAAGTTAAGAAAAAATTTCTATTTGAAACCTTATTTCGTTTTTATTTATATTCTTTATTTAACGGTTTTATTAAAAATTAAATACATAAACTTGTATGAGCTTGCTTTATTAAATACAAACGCAGAGACGTTTCTAGAGAGACGACTTGAGAGATTGCGATGTGGAGAATAAATACAACTGCTAAAGTTTTGAAATTGTTTTCAGGATACAAAGTAATTTATTATGCTTTTGAATATTCGGCCAATTAAGGCAGCATAAAAACTCTGCCAGATAATAAAACTGGCCATGAGTGCACTGGATATAATATTCATTCAACGGGATATTACAACTAAACCAGATATAGTCGTCAATCAGATATTTAAAAAAATTTTATTTTTTATTGATTTATTAATTTAAAATTTTACGTTCAATTTGAAAAACGTTCAATTTGTAGCTTGCAAACCCCCTTCCTCCTTGAAATAAGTCGCTGGCTACGGTCCTGTGCTTATGCACTTCTGCACACGTGAATCTGTGTTTTATGTCCGCTGATATTAAAATTGAATTATTTGAGTAAAATAATATTTATCCAATATTTTTTATAAAATATATTTCATTGCACATAAAAAAATTTTTGTTTCCATAAAGCAATTTTTTTTAATTGCTCTTTCCGTTTAATTTATTTTTTTTTTTAAATTCAGAAATTTTTTTTATTTCAGAATTAAAACAATTTTTTTAATATGGACAATGCACCAATAATATAATTTGATTTTTTTTTTTAATAATTTACATATAAGTTATTTTTGTAATTTTTAACAAATATTTTATATACTCACCTTAGTGCTATCTTAATTAATAGTTTATGATAACATTTTTTATAGGCAGATTGTATAGATCAGTGGTTTGTAACCTTTTTTTAACCAAGACCACTAGTAATAAACTAGTGGTTGATTTGATTACTAGTAATAAACTAGTGGTTGTGATATCATATGATATCATTTTCCGGTTATAGGAACACTGATAATAATGAAAAAGCAAACAGTTTGGCCTACCTTGGTGTTTTCCTAAATATATCCCTAGAAACATTGGGTTTCGTTTCCCTGGAGATCTTTAAGAGAAGACGTAAGTAGTCTTCTTTTTGCAGCTTACCAATAATAGAAGGAAGACATGTGTAACTTCCCGGTTAACGTGGTATAACACCGGTTAACGTGGTCTTCGTATAACAACCAGAATAACCAGATTTTGATAACTTAATTAAGGGGAACGCGTAAATCTGTTAGGATTGCTGCAGTTCCAACTGCTCACAGTTGTATGGGAACTCATGCATACAAATTATATATTCCTTTTTACACTCATTATAGAAGTTTTGGAAACTTTCAGGAAAAATAAGCAGTTTCTATGTGATTGCCAAAATTTAGTTACCAAAAGAAACGGGACTCTAGGAAGATACTTTTTCAACAGTTTGTCAGATTGTTTATTAGTAAGAACAAAAGCTCTGTTAAATTCCTTAAAATTAACGACATGAATTGAATTTTTGGTTTTACCTCTTAAGCTAAAGTTTCTAATGAAGAATTTGGTGGTTAAATAATAACTAATTATGCATAACATAATGATATCTGCTGAACTGCCACTGCAAGCAACCAGTTAACAGCACAACCAATACACAAAATAAACAAAACTTGACTGTTTAAACAATAACTTGTATTGGTACTTCTTGTTTTAATTTGTTACAATTTATTATGTGTATGTTACGCGTTCAAACTCATATTTCCATATTGCAATCAAGTATTTTTTGCAATGGATTTTTTGCAATATTTTTTCATTAAATAATGGTTTATTTTTCAGAACCGATTTTTTTCGTTGTATTTTTTTCATATCCCAAATAGTTTAAAAACATTATGTTCGTTTTTGATGGAATAAGATATAATTCTAACCCGTTGCTAAAAAATTACACCCTGTTTAGTAAAGATAGGTATATACGTATATCTTCTCTTTCCTATTATTCTGAATTTGTGGTTTGCTTCTGCATCCGCAGTTTTACATTTAAATGTCATACTGAACTCAAATCGTCAAAACCGTGACAAATATGTTGAACACCCAGTTTAGTTGGGATGGGTATATATGTATATATGTCTTCTTCTCCTATTATTCTTGAGTTGTGATTTGCTTCTGTACCCGCAGCCTCACATATAAATGTCGTACCGAACACTGAAATACTCAAAACCACAAAAAACGTTAATGATAAAATTCTTAACGCATTAATTATGTAAAAACCGCATTTAAAGCAAAAGGAAAAATCGGGATGTCACCCAACGCAAACGCCTACAAAGGAAAACATTAACATTCGTTGTCGCGTCACTAATTTTATTTCTCATTTTCCAGCTTTCATTTACTTTATTTTATTTTTTTTTTGTTATTTTTTTTTGGTTTTTTTTATTGTTAATATTTCGCAAACAATTTTAAGTCGCAAGATAAAATGAAATTTAACAAAAATGTTAAAATGGAAATAAAAGCAAAAATTCCAAAATTTAAATTACAAAAAATAGAGAAAGCAAGGAAACCAGAAACATGAAAATATTTAACAAAATGAAAGCTAAATTTCTTTTTCTTTTTTTGTTTCCTTTTACTTTTATTTTGTGTTAATTTAATTTTTGGTTTTTTGTTTTAATGCTGGATTTAAGCCAATTTTAAGTGACGTTAATAGTTTTTTTTTGTTTTTGTTTTTGTTTCCGTTTGATATTGTAGCGCTTAAAAGGCTGCAACGAAATTTTTGTTTTCATAGAAAGGATATGCCATGGCCGCTACTAGCTTTAGTTTGTTTGTTTGTTTGTTTATTTGTGAGTTTGCTATTGACACTCTTGCATTTCGAAGTAAGCCTATTAAAAATTTTCTAATAAAAAGGAAAAAACCTTTTAAATTTTTTGCCAGTTTATTTATTTATTATGCGTTGCTGGGTTGAAGAACGAAAGGCAAAGGATATTTTTGCTTTCATTGCTTAACAATGAATTTTTGACATTTTTTTAATTACAGTCACAAAAGTGTGGAAAAAAGGATGAAATCCCTTGCTACTACACCATTTCGCCCTATTTGCCCTTTTTACATTTCTGTTGCTGTTAAGAATTTAACGCTTAATAAAGCCAATTAATATTGATTGCTACTTTCATTCTTTTAATGTCTTTTTAATCAGTGACATCCTTTGTAAACACGATAAACAACTTTTACTTCTCTCGTTACAATTTTTGACAGAGGCGGAAATTTAAAAAAATTAATATTCAACGCATTATGTATGGCATATTTATAGGATTTTCATCATTATCTTTGAGCTTTATGTACTATCCTTCCTATGAGACATTTTGTGAAAATGAGATATTATTTATGCCAAGAAGCGTAGGTTAAAAGTGGAGAAGTCTTTACAAAAATTCTAAAGTAAATTTATATTTTTGTTGCATATTTTTGTATTCTTGCCTAGAAAGTGATTAAGACATCAAAAAATGTACCCACACCTAAGTTGATAACAGCTCGGTATGGTCTCCGAGGGTTGTACAATGTACATATTATGTATGTTGTGTGATACTCTATGATAGATACTCTTGTGGCTTGAAATACAAAATTTCAAACAACAACAAAAAAAAAACAATTTAAACTTTTTTGAAAATAACTTTATTTTAATGAATTTTTAATTATGTTTGGTAGGATATTATACAGAGAAATCTTTTTGTGAGATTCCAATGACTGTACACAATTAAATTAAATTAAATTTTAAAATTCCTACATAATAAATAATTGGTAAAAAGCCTTTAGTTTTAGCAGAAAATGAAACAATTTAAATCAAAATACCTACATAATAGATAAAATATAATATTTTGTTATGCACATTGCAGTATCATAAATAAAAATGAACGTTTTGGTTTTGATTTTGATTGACATAAAATCATTCTTCCAAAAATGTAAGAATTAAAAAAATGAAATTAAAAGAAACAATAACTGCAACAATTCAAAATAAATGAAGTAAGTATTTGTTTGCATTGTTTATGCCACAAGAGGTACTTTGAACTCACCAATAATGCAAGACAGTGCTGCATAAATGCATGCAAAGTGCATTTATCTTGCATTTGATTTATTTTCTCTGCACAACACGGCATCATGCAAAGAACTCTGACGTACTATTGCTACAGCTCAGATCAACAATATTTACACATGTTTACATGTGAAGTTGTGTGTTTTACAGGTACTTACAATGTTGCCTGATTTTCCCAAAAATTTTCTTTCGTTTTTCCACCCGACTTTTCTTATTGTCTAAATTGTTGCCTAGAAGTAATTAAATTTTGTTGTCTTTTTATGCAAATATTTACCATTTCTATTGGCAACACCACAAACTACAACAACAACACTGCCAGACACTTTGGCATATCTACTATATATGTCTGTCTGTCTATCTGTCTGTCTATCTGTCTGATTGTCTGTCTGTTTTTATGTCTCTTTGTCTGTCTATGTGTGTAAACCAAAATACCAAGAGCGACCACAACCCACAAACACCTATGCACTAGCAGCAGCCCAGACTCCCATCCATTGTTGATGTCAGCTGCTAGTGTAGACCGAAACCACATCCAATTTGTTCAATTTATTTGTATCAACATTTGCTACATTTGAGGCAGGCAAACCTAGCAGCAACGTTACGTGTTGGTAGCATTTTTGCAATATTTGAGTGCCACATAAAGATTGAATCAATGCTGCAAACCTAAAAAATAATCGATTTTAATACGTTTTATTTTTTATTTATTTGCTTTGTGAATTTATTTTTTTTATTTGTGTTTAGATTTCTTTTTTAGTAGTTCCAAAATGTAATTTACACCCATTTCAATATCTGTTAGAATGTTCGAATGAAAACAAAAGTTCTCTGATGTCGTTATCAAATTTTTGATCATTTTATGAGGAAACTAACAAAATTACGCTTATATGGATACAAAATAAAAATTGACAAAAATAATTCTAATTTCAAAACTTTAGAAAACTAACAGGGCACTACCTATTGGGGGACGTAGTACTCTCCGTCCACGATTGATGTTTTGTATTAGAACTTTAACATTCATCTATCATTTTTCATCCTCTCAACATAATTTTCATTACTTGTTATGTATATGTTTAAAACCAATAAATCCACTTTCTAAATATGGTTTTGAAAACAGACTGTACTATGCCTTTTCATTAATCACAACAAATATTTATCTTATTTTATAATGATTATGATCTTCACATGTCAGATATTATAATCTTTACTAATATTTCTAACTGTAACTAATATAGCTAAAGAATTCATCAAAGTCAAAATATGTCATTTAGGACATCAATGGGGACACTTCCACTTCATTTCAGCTACATTATTCAAAACAAAACACTCTACTAAATCTCTCTCTCTCTCTCCTCTACTTAAAACTCTTTGAATCACACCTAGATCGAAATATGGTATTTTTCGCCAAAAAACGATTCAAAGACCAAAACTATTAGATCAAAGTTAATGAATACGAATTCTACTGTTTGCAGCGAAAGCAGTGATTGAAAGCAATAAATTTCAAATAAAACTATAAAATCAAGAAGTGCTGGGTAGACTCAAAAAGACCAATATATACGTATGCTTATTTGTTTGGAAAGAAAACATTTACATACATATAACAAATAACAAGAAAGGACATATCTTTCATCTTAGAAACCAATAAGTCTTCTGCCTTGTACTACCTGCAATTTTTGAGATAATACTGCTGTGACATGTGAATAACCAAAATATGTGTTATACCTAAACAACAATTCGTCTTTAAAACAAAACATGGGACCTTTGATCAAGTCCACAGTATTGCTAAAGATATATTTACAACGTTTCAGGACAGAAAGCACTGCATGTTGCATTCATGGATGCGTCTCAGTCCTTTAATAAAGTCTAGCATGTAAGCCTGATGTGTAAAATAAGACAGTTGCTTCCTAAATTTACGCACAAGGTTTACTTTTTACAGAAAATTCCTACTAAAATACAATTCTTCAAGATAATTCAAGGGAATTTGATATAAAAGGTGCTGTTCCTTTTAAAAAATAGTATTTAGGCCGTTTACTTAAATATACATACACTTAAGTCACTTACATAAATCCTTATACTTAAATCACGTGATTGTTCCTTTCGCGGATGACACCACAATTCTCAGTACACACAATTACCAAAAAAGAGGCATCCTGAAGCACCAAAGCTTATTTGAGTCTTTTGGAAAAATAAGTGTTCAAGTCACTTTGCATCACTGCACAAGGGAACATGTCGGTCTGTTTTGTCTATTATTATAATTATACCCCACTAAAACGGAGAGAAAAGTGATATGGATTAAGCATACCAAGTGCAAAAAAATTCAAATAAAATTGTAATCTCAGAAACCACTCTGATTAACTATCTGATTCACTAAATTATGGAGTTCGAAGTGCTTCTTCAATATCGAGAAAATACAAAATAAACTACATAGTCTACAAATTTCCCGTGCTTTACGGTATGTTAAAGACGTACATATTCTCAATGATCCTTAAACTCCAAAAGTTACAAAGCGAAGTTATATCAACAACAGCTGTTTTCTGGTTTTATGACTTCCAGAGTAAATGAAACGCCCTTATACCAGCTTAATGTCGCAGTATATCCACAATTCTTCTAAATTTCCTTTATTTTCTTTATTTCCTGTCTTATTTTTCAGGAGGACATTTTCAGTTAAATTTAGGCACTACCAAAAAGTACAATAGTAGTAGTAAAAATAAGAAACTGACAACACTAATATGACTATCTACATAATACACATTTGAATCATGACCAGATAGTGTCAATTTTGACGTGCTCTTGACTTTCTGCATAATATGGGCCTTGCCGGATTTATTATATTCAAAATTATCATTACGGAACCAGACCTTCCCATTATTTGAAGTATTTTTTTTTCAATTGAATAATCATTTTGGGGACAAGTCATGACTATCATTTTCGAAAAGTATGCCTATAAAAATAATTCAGAAAATTATAGTTTCAAATTTTATTTTTGTTCTTTTTGCAAGTCAAATTGGGTGAGAAATTTTGAAGTAGTCTTAAAAAAATGGCTTGATCAACGATGCCGATGTATTATGTTAATTTCTTAAGAAAAATGTGTAAGCTGAAATTTCACCATTCAAGAAACACATTAAATCACTCTTCCTCTTCCAGTACTATTTCACTTGGAAACAGTGAGGCATCGTTAAATGATCCTAACGCTATTAAAATTCCTTTTGGTGTTTTTCTAAGAAAAGAATTCTATTCTCACAAAGAGTCATCCATCTTTACAAGCTTTCAGTATATGATGATGCAAAAAACCAATAAATACTTTAATAAAACACTGCGCGAAGCAATTGCAGATTTTGTGATAAGCAATCCAGAAAAATTTGATGGAACATTTTTGGGATCTGATCCTGAATCATACTGTAAAGCTGTAATCCAAGAAATCAAATATGGCGGAACTATTGAGTTAATACTTTTGGCAGATTTGTTTGAAATCGAAATTGATATACTCAATCTACATTCTGGTACATTAACTGCCCTAGGAACCGGCAAATATGTTGAGCAACGCGGTTTTCTCTTAAATAATGGTTTATACTTTTATCCACTTTACATTCTGAAGAAACATGTAAGAATTATTAATTCTTTATTTATGCAACATAGACTTCATTTTAGCTTTTTTACTTAAAGGATGCTAAACCAATTACATTATTTCCTGTGACTGATAAAGGTACTTATCGAAAAGCTGTGAAACTGGTGAAACGAAAGAAACTGCCTGGAAGTCTACCATTTTTTTAAGAAAACTTTCTTGCTATTCAGGAAAACATTCTCTAATTTTGAAAATAGTAATAAAACGAATGCAAATATCATAATATATTTATAATAATAAAACGTACTATAAAATAATAATTGCGACAAATAAGTAATAATAATTTGCTTTCTTTATTACTAGATTCATATTATAATTAAATAAGAAAACTATTTCTGAGATAAAAACAATAAAAGTTAAACTTAGTTGCATTTCAAAAGATCTGGTACCATTTCTTCTGTCCGAAGAATAAATGTCGGTGTTCCTCAAGGATCACCGCTCTCTCCCTTTTTGTACAACATCTTTACGTCTGACAACCCAATGCTAAGTCCCTCTGTGCTAGCATTATATGCAGATAACACATATTATATTCCGATAAACATGCCAGAAATATAATCAACACATTGCAGCAGCATGTTAATCTCATCATGGTACATACATACGAATGACATCAGAATAGACCCGGTTAAAAAATTCATAAGGGAGAGAGCCCTAAGGCTATACAGAAGAACTTACAGTCTGCTCTATATAGCATTATCTAATCTCAGAGCAGTTCTTGCCATATAGAGTGGTATGCAGATCTTAGATAAGTCATCGAATATTTAGCGAAGCTTGTGAAGAATACATAAATTAGACAAAAAGAAGGAAGGGACTCTGTAGAACTAACACTAACTCGGAAAAACCTCAACATAAGACAACGAAATCTATGATAAAAACAGTTGTTACCTGTTAAACAAACCTCGTTATGGTTTGAGTTATAATTTGGACAAGAAGGATTAATCTGAGGAAGCAGTACTTTAGCTCTGCTTGAAAGGAGAGGATACTTGCACTCACAATCTTTGTAACTATTCGGGTTTTGATTTACGGGGAAAAGAGATCACTTGGCTAACAGCTCCTATGCCGATTTAATAAAAGATTATACTCTACAGCAGAGCACTTAAAGGATGCTATATAGGATGCTAGTGCATCCCATACTTTTTGTTCTATAACTACTTCTTCGATTTATGAATTTAAGAAATTGTAGAATAAGGTGGACACCATCGTACCCTTCGATTTTTGGTTTCGTATAACGGATTTTAATACAATAAAAAAAAACTTGAAAATATTTTATAGAGTTTTTTTTCATTTAATATACATTAAAATATAAAATATTAATTTTTGTACTAAATAACTTAATGAGTAATAGAAGAAATTCTTTATTTAATCATTTCAATACAATATTTAATTTAATATTTTATATTTTTAATATAAATTTCATTATGATTGTATTAAATAAAAAATTTTAATCAAATTAAATTTTTATATATTTTTTATTTTTTATTTATTTATTTTTTTTTGTTGTAAATTTTTTTTGCTGTTGTTTCTGGCCTTTGCTTCATTGCTTTTATAATCAACACGTTTTAATTAAATGCAAACAAAAACGTATTCGCTTCGCTGCGCCGCGTCACGTCGCATTATCAGTGGCGGCGCCTGTGTAAAATGCCGTCCTGTCGGTCAACCAAACCACAGTTTACGAGTTCATATAAATCAGAGAGTTTGGATCAATCACAGAACCAATCCATATGTAATTTTTATTGATATTTGCAGTGACAAAATTATATTTCACATAAATTAAATATTTTTTTAATATTAAATCATAACCCAAAAAAAAATTATTCAGATACAATACAAACAGATTAAGTTGCAATTTCTGTGGTGAAATTTATTTTTATAATATAAATAGTAAAATTTGTATAAAAAAATTCATTTTATGTTATATTTAGTTTAATATTTATTTATTTAAAAAACAGTAATATTTTTTTATAGTAATATAAACGTGAGTTCAAATATTTCAAAACAAATGCAAATATTCTATTATAAATGAAATTAGTTATATATACACATATATGTCTATATACATAGACATACATATATATCATATATTATGTATATATCTATATATATATCTACACCATACATCATATGTTATATATACATATATCATATTTTATATATATGATATATACATATATCATATAACATATATATAGATATTTATTATATATAAATAAATAAGTAGTTAGGTACATACTATTCACATTTTTTTAGTTTTCAAACACTAGTTTTTTAATATGCATTTTTAACTCGCATTTTTTATGCAAGTTTTTAGATAAATTAATTTAAATACAAAAAGGAGTTTCACTTTGTACACCACAGTAAATTTATATAAATCAAATACAGATTTGATCGTTTCCATTGGCTTAAGTTGATTTATATATATGAAATGTATACATAAGAGCTTTTATGTGTCATAATATTCTGCGATAGTTCTAGAAGAGCTTTTGTTTACGTACATTGCAGTTGGATATTTATTTGATATATAAACTCATTTATATATTAATTACATATTTTATTTATAAATTCCCAACTTTTTGAAAAATTCCCGTCTCCTGTTTGCTTGCGTTATTTTTTTTTTATTTACATTTTGTTATATTACATGTGTCAAATATGTCAAATTTCGATAATCTTTTGGGAAATATATTTTGCAACGTTGTATTCGATATTCTTGATGTAATTTCCCTTGATTTATTCTTAACTACCTAAAAAGCGCGAAAGCTTTTTGTGTAATTAATTAAATTTCATTTCGTTTAATCATTATCATTAGCCAATTTTGTTTAATATCGAAGATGGACACTCTGTCTCTTCGATTGAATTAATGTATTTAGATTAAAATAGATTTTTTGTAAATATTTGTCTGATTTTAAAAGCTTTACTGAAATCTCAAATAAATTTTGAGTACTTTAAAGTTTCTTATTCAATTTTTTTTATTTTATATTGTGATTATCTATACAAGTACTCGTATCGCCGATATTTCGAAGTATATTTGATTTATTTCTAAGGTTAAATATTACACAACTCCGCCCTTATTCCGAATTTAATAGATATTTTTTTAAAATTTAATTTTTTTACCTTTTCATCATTTTGATGCTGTTAGCTAACACTTCAACTTTTGCTCATTTTACCGTATATGTTATTTAATTCAACGAATTTCGTGGGATACTTTATACTTAGTGTGATTTTTTCCTATTACATACGCAGTGAAAACTTTTTGCTTTTTCTCCCACGGAATGACCTCCCACATATATGTGGTTTTGATATAGATCGTCCTGTATATTGTTTCTTAGTGTGTCTTCTCCGCCTTTTTCGGCGCATTGCAATCACATCTACTCACTTAATTCTATTCTTAACCACAAAAATAATTTTTTTTTCTATTTGGCGTATAATTTTGAAAATCTTTTTTTCTTCGTATGGTATTTCTGTTATGAATTACGAAATTAATGCAAATATCAAAGAATATGTTTCTTATATTTCTATAAATATGTATTTCATTTCTCTTCAAACTAAAATTCATTTAAATGCCACAGTTTCTGTTGCAGCTGCAAGTGTCAAAGAAATTAATGTCGGTCCATTCCAACATACTGCCAACGACTTAGTTGAGTTGCTCATAGTCATGACCGTATTGTGTCATAAATAATGCATATTTATGCATTCGAAAGTGTCAAAAAATATGCACTCATTCAAGCACTCCTTCTATCCATTACGTTCCAAATATCGTTTATTTCAATAACAAAAAAAACAAATACCCACACACACAATAACATAAAAAAGTCCTAATACAAGCTTACTTCCCATCGCATGTGATGCAAATAAAAGTTTTACCATCACTTATGCAAGTTTTCTTCACAACTACCCAGCAGGAACAATAAACTGACACATTTCATTCGTTATAGCTTTACGCAAATATACAAACTCATAAGCAAAAACGCTGTTGTGAGCTGCGCTGCATTTGCTACACGATTGAATGTATCGTCGTAAATTCAAAACGATTAATCATAACAATTTATTGTGAATTATTATTGTGAATTTTATTTTTGTTTCTTTTTTGTGTGTGAAGCTGTGTATGGAAATTGCAAGTGTAAAATAAATGCACACACAAGCGCATAAATCGCATGCAAATGTCGCTACTAGTTTTTGTAATTTCACTTGTATTTATCATATTTTCTACATGTGTGTATGCTTGTATAAATTACATATAAATCTATGTACATATATGTATGTGATAACAACAACAGCTTTGTAAAAAGTAAACTTTATCCCTTAGGATACACTCATCATGTGTCATTAATTAGTTTCATCATTTTCTTTATCAACATCATGCTCATCAGCCATTACTCCAACAATAACAACAAGAACAAGTGCTCTTGCGCTGACAGAAACTGCATCCAAAGGAAAAACAACAATAATAATAACCGAAAACAATAACAAAAACATTATTTAACTACTATCATCAACGTTGTTTTATTATTGTTCATCCTTATTGTTGTCGTTGTTGTTGATGATGCTGATGTTGTTGTTGTTGTTGTTGTGGTTGTCATTGTTTGCTTAATCGTTATCATAAATATTTCTGCAAATGATGGCAACATTGAAATTTATTTTGCATTTCATTTCAGGCCTGAGTTGTTTTTGTAAATGTTTTCAGACATTTAAACGTTGGAAAATTGTTTAATTGAAATTTTCTGCAAATTATTGTAATGCAGAAAATGGAATATTTTTAAATAAATAACAGAGAAAGAAATGTTATTGTCATTATCTCAGTAAAGTTATTGTCGGATATTGCCTTTGTTTATGAGTTTTACATAATTTGAATTATTCAAAAATATTCCTTTTTTGTTAATAAACTTTGAAGTTAGTTAACAAATCATTTAATAATTAATTTTAAGTTAACTTTTGTATAAAATATTTAATTTAAATATGATGCTTCGTTTACACTTAGACTTATAAAATCTCTTTAACATGGTTCATATTACTGCGTATTTCTCGAGGTAAGAACTATAGTTTAAAGATTAGGAGACGTATGCGCTGCCAACTGCTCCATCAGGGAATAGAATTTTCACTTTTGAATATTACGGTTTAATGGTTGATGTCCATTTTGTATTCTTAAGAGGTGGTTTCAATGAGTTCTCATTTCACACAGAGGTACTTAATGACTTTAATCATTGGGCAGCAAAAAATACTTCTAACATCACACAACAAAAACTATAATTGGTACATTCAATAATT